AAAGTAAATGGTATTATGTTTGTTTTGATGACATTCTTGGAGCGTCCCTTCGTGCTAGGGGACGTTAAGCCTATGTAGCACCTTTGTTGAGATATCTCTTTTGCCACTGACGGTCTTGTACGGGTGGGTCTGTCTAATCGATCTCGGGCCGGCCACCGATGGTCGTGAATGGGTGTGCTTTGGTCCCGAGGCGATTATTTGTTTGCTTTGTCCCAAATGTCATCTCTTGAGATCATGTAGATGTTATTAACATCCAAAGAAGCTTTGAAAAACCCTGATTATCCGAAAGTGTGTGGATTCAGTACCCCTTGTGTAAATAACTGCTCAGTGCCATTATATTCTGCAATTGTGGCTCTGAGTATGTGTAAATTGTGTTAAAAGTTGACTACTCCGATGTTCTTGTGCTTTACAATTGGTGCTATAGGGATATATGAGTTACGTATGTCGTGTGGTGGATTGTTTTGTTGTTATCCTTTGTTGGTTCGGGAATCTGTATCTGGATCCACTTTGTGTTCCTGAAAACTTTTGATTGACCTTGGATGACTGTGATGAGTCACTAAACTAAGTACTGAATTGGGTTGTAAATTGCGGGATTATTGAAGAACGAATTGAACTTTTGTGACAAGGAAATGAATCGAACTTCTGGGGTAAAGTTAGTTAGCATTAGAAATAAATATGTTGGTGACCTATTGTGAAGAAGAAATTGTTGAATTAGTGTCTAAATGTTTTCGGTGCCAACAAGGCAAAGTTGAATAACAGATATTGGCAGAACTACTGCAATCTCTACCTCTATTTCGGAATGGAAATAGAAATATGTGACTACAAATTTTGTTGTGGGGCTGCCTTGAACGCCCAAGTATAAGTCCCGTTTGGGTTATTGTGTACAGAATTACTAAGTTTGCTCATTTCCTCCTTGTGAAATTTTTGTATGACGCTTATAGACTGACAACCGTTTACGTCAATAAGATTGCTCGTTTGCATGGGATCCTAGTGTCTACTGTTTAGACAGGAATCCTAAAATGTGTCTGAATTTGACAAGCCTTCAAGAGGCAATGGGAACTGAATTGTGATTCGGCGTTGCTTTCCATCCGAAAATCGAAATGTAACTAGAAAGAACTTTTGGGAGAAATGCTCCAAATACATGCAGTAGATTTTTTGGGGAGTTTGGGAGATCTATCCATTGTTGGCAGACTTTGCTTACAACCATAGCCTACACTCTAGTTTTGCTGTGACACCATACAAGTCTTGTATGGAGGAAAAGTTGAGTCTTTGATTGATTGAGAACAGAGTGTTGCTTGATTTTGAAACTAAGCAGATAACTATCAAAAGGATTGGAACCATTGAATAAGAAGGTATTCCGAAGTGTTTTTGGCTAAAGGTAAATTAAGTTTGGAGGACCAAACTTCCTAAAGGGGGGAAGACTATAATACCCCTGTTCCGTAATATGTTAATTGGTCCTTAATATATGAGTATGATTATGTGTTTAATATGATTTTGTGTGCCATTGTGTGGTCTTGGATTTCTATCTATTCACCGTAGGAATATCTGTTTGATTTATCTGCTTTGGAAATTTAATTGGAGGCTTTATCGGCCACAGAACCCGAAATTGATTTCGCCATGGGGATTGACATAATTTTTGGAACCTATGGTGAAATTTAATTGAAAATTGATTCGGGTCAGATTAAATCGATTAAATCGGTGAATTAGAGCCCAATTATCTTATTAATATTATATTGGCCTTAGTGGGTTTTGTTGTGAAGTCACTACACTCTCTATCCTCTCTTTTTCACTTCATTTTGGCTAAAATTGGGACTCAAAATAGAGAGAACCAGATGTAGAGAGAGAGAAGGAGAGAATTGTGTGATTTTTGGCTCACGCTTGGGAATTTGAAGATTAAGCTCAAGATTTGGCTAGAACTTGAGTGTTTAAGGCTCCTAGGTGAGTAATTAACCCTTGAATCATGGGTTTTTGTTTGCTATTTGTAAATTCAAAGCTGAATAAGAATAAAGAACATGAATTTAATTGAGTATGATGAAATTGAATTGGTTTTGTTGAATTGAAGGCTAAATTGTGCATGCATGTAAGAAATTGTCTTAAATTTGCATGTTTGAGCTTCAAATACATGATTCATGTAGAGTTTTGGTTAAAGCTCATGACGTAATCACCAATTGTGTTATCTAAGTTGAGAATCATCACATGCATGTACAAATTATAAGGTTGAATGCATGACATTGTTATGTTGGTAATGAGTTTGGTGGAAAATGAGCCATGCATGTGTTTGATTCATGAGATTAAACTCCATGTTGACGTATTCTAGTGTTAGTACAAATATATGTGAGATTGGAGCCATTGTATGCAAGAAAAATTGGTTGAAAGTCGATTTGGAGCGCAAGAACTCATTCTGGAAAACCCAGAATTTTGGTATCCGCTCGAGCTGGGGGGAACTACCGCTCGAGCGGGAAATACGTGCTCCCAGCACTTTTTGCAGACATGGTGTCCACTCGAGCGGGGAAGTTGGCCCTCGAGCGGGGAGCTATGTAGACGGGCCTTCCGCTCGAGCGGCTGAGTTCACGCTCGAGCGGGCATTTGATGTAACCAGTACTTTTGCAGGCCCTAAGGGTCCGCTCGAGCGGGGAAGTCCACGCTCGAGCGGGGACTCTGTTTTCTGAAATTCTGAAAATGCATTCTGTGTTCTGTTTTCCGTTCCCTTTCACTTCTGAGCACTCTTAGGCATACTTTGAGCATTGTAATTGAATTAAAGAGATTAGAATGAAGCCTAAAGAGGAATGCGTGAATTAAAGAACGGATTGAGTTATTTGTGACCCATATATGTTATGTGATGTGTAGGGTCAAGCTCCAGGGCAAATCCACAAGCCGATCACTGTGAGTAATATCTTAACAAAAGATGTTTGAATATGTTGTTATCCTATTGCTTACCTCTATGTAAGTCTGTAAGTTCATTAATTTGAATGGTGGACAATGTCTGATATGAAAGTTTGCAATGGGCCAGAGGCCGTTTTGACAAGAAATAATGAATGGGCCAGAGGCCGTTTTGACAAGCATGAATGAATGGGCCAGAGGCCGTTTTGATATGAATGATTGGGCCAAAGGCCAGTTTGACACGAAAGTGTGAATGGGCCAAAGGCCGTTTTGACATAAACGAATGGACCGAAGGTCATCTTGACACGAACGAACGGACCGAAGGTCGTTTTGAGATAAACGAATGGACCGAAGGTCGTTTTGACATGAACGAATGGACCGAAGGTCATTTTGAGACAAATGAATGGACCAAAGGTCGTTTTGAGATAAATGAATGGACCGAAGGTCGTTTTAAGATAAATGAATGGACCGAAGGTCGTTTTGAGATAAACTAATGGACCGAAGGTCGTTTTGACATGAACGAATGGATCAAAGGTCGTTTTGAGATAAATGAATGGACCGAAGGTCATTTTGAGATAAATGAATGGACCGAAGGTCGTTTTGACATAAACGAAAGGACCGAAGGTCGTTTTGACATGAATGAATGGGCCAGAGGCCGTTTTGACACGAATGGATGGGCCAGAGGCTGTTTTGACATAAATGAAAGTATAAATGGGCCGAAGGCCTACCTGATACGAACCACGGTCACTTGACTTAAATTGTGTATATATATATGTTAAATAGAAGTATGAATTAGGCCCAAGGTCGTTTGGAGTATGTTGTTCTACATATCGTTTGTATGACTTCTTTGTTTGATATTATTCACTGGGCTATCGCTCACGCTCATTCATGTGTTTGTCGGTGAGCCAAGAGAGGTCCAAACCCAGCCTCAGTGAAGTTTGTGTGGAACAACCAAGGTTTTGAAGAGTCAGCCCTCGCGTCTCACGAACGAGACACGTCTTCGCCCTTGTGCTATCTTGTGTCATTTTGTCATGTTGGCGAGGACTTTGGTTTACGTCTGTATATAGTTTTGCTTGGCTGACTTAGATTCGAATGATCCTGTATGTACAGAGGTTGTGTTAGTACATATTTTGATGTGAGTTATTAATATGTATCTGTATGATTGTTATGATGTGTCATGTAAGCACAGCTCTATGGACAAAGTTTTAAATTGCTTCCGTTTGGCCCCCATTAACTCTGTTAAAATACGTTTGGTTTGGTTTGAGGCCGTAGGTAATCTCATGATTACTGGCCGGTTACGTCCTTAACCCATGGGGGCGGGTTCGGGTCGTGACAAGAACAGTGCAAACAGAGGCAACATGAGGCATGGCAACGGATTTCCGAGCGAAGCCGACAGAGCATGAATCATTCATCATTCCAAGACAGGGTTGTGGTAGCTTTGTTTTAGCTTCTTTCTTTTCTTACTTAGTTGGCTTTGTAACTTAATTAATTTACTTAATTAGTTAAGTTTTGTAATAATTAATTAGTGCAGCGTAGCTAGCTAGTTGATTTATTCGGACCCTCCGTCGAGAGGACGAATTTTGTAATAAGTGTGCGTGAGTGTGTGAATGCCTTCCAACCCCACATCTTTCTCCCTTTTACTTATCAGCTTTTGATGGTTAGTTTTACGACTTATTTCAATTAGCATCCTTCTGCTTCGCATGCGCGCATCATTGATCTGTCTTGCATGCACCGAGCTCGGCGCATCTTACAAACCGCATTGTATTTCAATACATTTACTTGAATACGTGTTCAACAGCATGTTATCATGTTGCATCTCATATGCCATCTTAGAATAGCCGAGCCTATTTTTAGTTGCATTTTGCCCCTAATTCATAGCAGTCCCATCAAAGCTTCTGTTCACTTCAATATGAATTGATGTTTCTTCACAAAACTACAACACTAATTATACCTTTCTAGAAAAAAAATTCTGAAACTACTATACACAAGGATGTAAAATAGAGGATTTGTTCTGATGACATGGGAGAACCAGCTTTTGCCAAAAATGGTAATATTCTACAGCTCTTTGTTTTAAAATGTATATATGCAGGGCATAGTTTGCTCGGGACTCACTTATTCAAGGAGTAATAATGAAAGACAGAGGACCTGTTTTTGTGACAGCTTTCAGCCCACTGAGCATGGTCATCGTAGCTATCATGAGCTCATTTATTCTGGCTGAACAAATGTACCTAGGAAGGTAACTCTCAAACACTTTACCTAATTTACATGTAGACCCCTAAACAGCAAATAAGATAACTAATGGCACAATTTTACAGGGTACTTGGCGCAATTTTTATAGTTGCAAGCCTATATTTTGTTGTGTGGGGTAAAAGCAAGGATTACGACTCCCTATTCCCATTAACTGACAACCAAACAGCACCAGCTAAGCAAACGATGGATCAAGATAACAATGGAGATGGAATTTCATGTCATGAGATCATCACCATCAATGCATCTAACAAAGGAACCATGACCATAGAGGTACAAAAGTATGATAAAGGAAACCAGACCACAGCCTAGCTTATGTGTTTTCTGAAAGTTAACAAGTTCAGACAATTCATGGCTATAAAAACAGTAGTAGACCTCATTTTCTGAAGCATCTTCCTTTTGAATATATTGTTTATTAATAGTATGATGCAGACCATGAGGGCCAAAGAAGAAGAAAAAGAAAAATTTGAAGATTTAGTCCACTTTAAAAACTGGTTCAACCATGAAGCTTAATGGATTTGAAGAGTTTTTAAAAAGTCATATTTATACGCTTCAGCCATTTTGGTAATTCAATTACTTAGCTCTAAGGTAATCTCCTCATTAAGTTGCTAGTGGTGAGCTATTTGTCTACTGAGCGACTTGCAACTTAATGGGTAACTTACCTCTTAATTAACCAATTAAGTAACCTACTCAGTTCTTCCATGTAAAGAGCTGTTACTTTTCTTTTGAACAAACAGGAGATGCAAGAAAAATATTTAGCCTTTGCTTCTTTAGTTTGATGAGATGCCAAACACCCTCTGGTGTTTGATTCCACAAAATCCTATATAAAGAAGTGCAAATCTACTTGTTCCAACAATGCAAGACACCTCAACCCTTTGTTCTTTCTTTACTTTGTTTATCCAATCCACCACCAAAATCCATTCAGATGCCAAAGCAATTTTCTACCGAATCAGATTATTTAAAACAGAATGCCAATGCAGAGTTCAATTGATTGTCTATCTGCTTCCACCTTATGATAAAACAAATAGGTGCGTAAGTTGTCATCTTCAGGATGATCCAGATAGGAGTATATTCTGACTTGGGCATCTAAGTTCATGATAACAAATACCGTAAGTTACTAACCCAAAAAAACAAATGCCATAAGCAGCCCAAAAATTTGATGGGCACTCAAACTTGGCCCAAATGGTTGAGTTGATAAACTCAACTTATACTATTCTAAGTCTGGAATGTCTTAAGTTAATGGATAAAGAGCCGAGCTTAGAAAATCCCTGAAAAATAATAATTGTGCAAATCAGGGCAACAGAAAGAGATACAGACCCATACTTATTGACCAAGTCCTCATAAGCGGGACTAATTTATGGGTTAGCAGTTCAAGAATGCACATCACCAGGTTATCTTATAGCATCATGATGACTTCAAAAACAAATAATTGCTAAGTTTGACCAAAACAATCCTTCATCCTGACAACTTTGTTAAAAATTCTTCTATCCATCTCACACACACAATTGATTACCATAAAGTCACATCAACATGTCTTTTCTCACAAGCTCAACAAAACATTCTTTGTGGTTTTCCATGTCTCTTTGTATCACTTTCAACTCCCATACTACCCTTTTCATTGGTCCAGCCAGTTAAAAGACTCCCAATAAATGTTTCACAGAAAAAGAAGAAAAAAAACCTCCACAACACGCAATAACCAATAAAATCAATTTTGATTTTTATATAATCTTTACAGGTAAAATGTCTTGCACACACAATGCATGTGCAAATTGGTAGTAACTAAGTATGCAAAGCACAAACTAGAATTGGAAAATTGAATGATTGCAGTGAGTCCCAGGCAAACCAGTAACCGTAATCTTTCTCCCCTTATATTTCTGCAGGTAAGACCAACAGCAGATCATTACTTTCATGCAAAATGAACAGATTGCTATAATCTAATGCAACTGGGAGAGAAAATTGGTGTAATTTAATGTAATTATTAGTTAAGATTGACTGAATCCTGACCTTAAGAAGATTGAAAGGACCAGTATCAATTCCGTATAAATTATATGCCTTTTGAAAGGAGTGGCAACCTTAGATTGCCTCCACTCAGTTCAACACGGTTCAGGTTTCATTAAAAGTATAGGTAATTCTGCTCAATTACTCCTCACAAGGTCAGGTCAAAATAAAAGTACAAAACCCAAAAAGGAAAGAAAGACATGACCAAGCATGTGATATTATCGACTTAAACTATATTGAAAGGCTTCAAGCAAATTGCAAAAAATCTGATACAGATCAAAGATTAACTGCATGGACCAAACACGTGACAAAGTAGATAAACTATCTTAAAAGGCTTCAAAATTGCATATGGTTTGTGAAAGATTAATCACAAGGACCAAACTGTGAGAAGTATCACATAAACTATCTAGCCAATAACAACTATCTTGATTTTCATTTCTCCTTCATTATGTTTAAGATGATGCAGTTGAAACAATTAATGTGACCAAGTATAAGGTTCTTTCTGTGGCCTGTTAATTTTGATTTCCAGTTCCACAACAAAACTAATCTCTAAACATAAGGATGCTTGACCTCCTAATACTTACATTGCTATGATTTAATAACAAAAAAAATACCAAAAAGATGTATAATTATTTACACAAAATAAGGAAAAGATTTTCCCACCTTTATATTTGAAACAAGGCAACTTTACAACAATTGTTTCCCTTCATACTTTCCATATATACGCTGAAGTTCACGAGTAGCAGCTAGGAATGATTCTGAAGCAGAGAAAAAAGAGTGCATGTGAGCAGGAAGGCATTGTATCAAAAACATATTGAATGTCACTCACTGGTAACTAAACCAAATAACTTGGATTACCTTTCCAAAGACGGAAAGATTTGTGTATGTTGTTTAACAGTGGGCACATTTTCCTCATATCCACTTTGGGCTAAAGCTGGATGGCAACCATAAGCAAAGTTGGAGCATTCAAATGCAATAAGGGGACTCAAGAACCTAATGGATTCTATTAAAAACAATGGTACGTTGCGAATAAAATTAGGTTTCTCTATGTATAAACGCGTAAATCTGAGTTAATTAAGTTCCTAATCAACCTTATGTATTCGTCTACTTCACTTGTGTTTTGTGAAATGACTGAAGGGTTTTTTTTTTTCCTTCATGTTTTATAAATATTATAAAACCCAATAATACCCACTTCATAAAAAATTTCAGGACACAAACTCGGTACCTTATGTAGTGTAGGTTGAATGATCCAGCTGCTGTTGAGTGACAATAAGTGTAGTGATTGAATCACCTGCATACGTAGACAGAGCATTATATAAATCAGTTTGGTTGCTGAGAAAATTGAGCAAAAGAAAGGATAGATTCTTCATAATCATTTTGCTAGCTGGTTCTAGAAATATAAGGATAAAAATAAAATTCACCCATATCTGTAGAATTTCCAGAACGTAGCAATGTAATGTTGGATTTGTTAGTGTTTTTCCATTTTTTCCCTCAGTTTTCTTGGTAGCCAAACGAATCTAAAACGAAATTCACCCATATTTGTAGGAAGTAACTAGATAATAGGCATGTAATGCTGGATTTTTAGTTTCTTTCCATATTTTCACTTAATTTTCTTGGTAACCAACGAAGTCTATTTCCGTTTATATGAGTAACGGATTCCAGAGAATGTGGATGTAATAATTGTGTTTTGTTAATTTTTGGGTTTTGAGTTGGAGTTGTTTATGCTCAACTAATTATTTTGTATTATCCTTTAGGACTTAAGCAGACAAAATGATTGTATCATTTCTTACCAGAGGACTTGTGTATGTTGCTCATCAATTTAGGGCCACATACATTATATATTAAACATTTGCATATACACACACAACATTATATATACACACAGCAATTATATACAATATCCACACAACATTACATATATACACTGTAACGCCCTCAATTTTCATGTCCAAATGGTAATACAATAATCATGGCCCTTTAAAGTAAAACTGATAATAAATCTCATACTTGCATTACATGATGTAAATAGTCTTCATGCGATAATACAGTTAACCCAACAACAATTAATTAAACAACAATACCCCCAAGGGTTTACAAGTTTCTAAGGCTTGAGCCTGGTTACACAAAATCGATTATTCAAACCCACACATACAAACCCTTGGCTTACAATCAAGTCACAGCCATGACACATTATGCTCTCTGCACACACTTCCACAGCCTTCAGTTTAGGCAGAATCACCACATCTTTTTGCACAAAAATCCGTAGGGTGAGCATAAAGCCCAGTAGAAATTCTTAAAAGTATATACATTTTATACAAGTCTCGTTAGATGGAATGCTTATGCCATGCATGCCTTTTTGAAAGTAAAACACATCTTCATCTTTTGAAAACCATCATGCTCAATGATGTCATGCAATTTCAACTGTAACATTTATCAAATTTTATTCAAGGGCGGTAAATATAACTTCGTAAATCCTAGGTCGGTGTCTGCAAGTAGACTATACAATACTACCAATTTGTCATTTTTACCAGTATTAACTGGAAAGCTCGACACCTCTAATCTTCATTTTTACCAGTATTAACTGGAAGGCTCGACACTATAATTTCACCACCTTTCAAGACTTACCACTGCATTTACTCCCAAAATCATTTCATAAATGTTTCAACATTCTTTTCTAAATGCAAAGTTTTCAAATCAAATTCAAAGCTCTTCATTATCAAATGAATTGATATGCCAATGCAATGATTAATAATACAATGCAATATTTCTTCCACTTTCAATACTCCCACACAATATTCCATAACTTCAACAATTCCCTTATTCCATGGAAAACCATTATTATATGTAATAAATAAATAATTTTCAAACATCATTTATTTTGGCATATAAAATAAATATAACAACATATTCTAAAGATTTTCAACGTCGTTCTTTTTAAAAACCCCAATTTCTAGGTTTTCTCACCAAAAACCATTCATTTTCAAATATTTGAGAAAGTCTCACCAAAAACATCTTTTCTTCATCAAATAGTTCAAAACCCTCAATTTCTATTTTTAAAGGAAAAGGAAGTAAACCCACTCTCAAAATCACTCATCTTCTTGAATCAACAATCAATTTTCAAAAAACTAATCAAAGGATGATTTTCGAAAATCATCTAGATCTTGCAAAATATATATATAACTCAAGAAAATCCCTACCTCAAGCTTAGAAGAGAAGATGAGAAAACAAGGTTGAAACTCCAAAGTTGTCAAACCAACTTCTACTTGTATCAAATGAAGCTCTTGATAAGCTGTACACTTAATCTCAAAGGAGAAGGCAAGAAGATGCTTCCAAGTGAGTAGATCTAAAGATCTTTGAGCAAAAAGTGATTTTGGAGAGGGAGAGATGACTCACGGCTTGGAGAGGGAAAAGAGAAGAAAAAGTAAAGAAAAGTTAAGTGAGGGACCTATTTAAAGTGCTAGGTCAAAGTAAAATGAAGTCCCAAAGTCAAC